TTCCGTTTCCCGACTCCCGCCTCACTCTTTCTTCCGGAGCCACCAGATGGTCAGATTCAATAAATGCTCGAATCTGCCTCTTGACTACTGTGGTTAGTGAGTGAGACGAACCGCTGCTCTCCGGCTGCCGCAGCGCGATCCACCCAAATGACAGCAATCTACCCCACGCTAATGGAGTACTGTCTTCACTTATCGCCGCCTCCAGCAGCTTCTGCAGAGCGTCTGCTGCGCTGACCACAGCTCCCCGGGGCACCCTCTTCAGTGCTCTACCATTGGCACAACACCGAGAAACGTACCCCAAGAAGTCGAAATCTACGGGTCTTTCTATTACGCCGGCATTAGCTTTACCCAAGCAACCCGGGCACAGCCAGCACCCGAAGGTGTCTGCCTGGGCTCTAGTCAGCCCCACGCATGAGAGATGGTAAACTCCTGCACACGAAGAACAACCGACTGTCCTCTTCCTGTTGTTAACAGTCGAGCAACTCGGGCACCCGCGTCCTCTCCCCTCCATCCCTCGGTCGTTTCCATGAGGTTAGGCGAAGACCAAAACAGAACGGCTGCTGCGCGGCTACAATCAAAATTACGCGAATACTACGTGCAACTAGTCCAGCAAGTGGCACGCCGCAAAAGAATAACAAGTACACCAGCCGTAGAAAGACGTGCCACCAATGAAATTGCTGCGTCAGCAGGAACGAGAAGAGAGAATGGGGGCAACGAACGCGCAAGGCTACAAAGCGAACAACAAGCAATTAAAGAGCTCTTAGGCAACACGCCACCTAATCGCGCGGATAAAATATAAAGACGTGTCTATAGAAATAAGAAGACGTGTGTATAGAAACCTATTGTTTACAGAGCCATAAGAATCCTAAAAAGATACATAAACCAGTAAAAACAAAGTATAATTCTAATCACAGCCTCACCTAGACCTAGATTTACACATTACACAATCAGATTAAAGGAGCAGGTACACGTTGAATAAATTGCATGTATCTATACAAAGATGAGAAGAACTAAGCGCAGAGCTTGGGTATAACAATGGCAGGGTACAAAGTTTAATACAGGAAGAGAAACTGTGCGGCCTTTAAATGACATTACCAGGTACTATTTTTGTTCCTGCGCTCTTGATCCTTGAGAGTAGCAATCAATATCCAAGATGCCCCAGGATGGGGTTATCCCTGGGGTCTTGTCGTTTGCGCCCAAAAGAAAAAAAATCGGGGCACATGCGATGTCGTGACAGCGTCTCCCGTTGTAGTCCAGGTTAGGTCCGAAAAAGAACAGGCACTTAACACGCTTGGGCAGCAGGAGTCTTATTCAGATGACATGTTTGAGGAAATTGAAGCAATGTAGCAGCCCTGAGGCGATAAGGTCAACCACTTCCTTCACGTAATAGGTTTTCCTCTTCTATGGGTATGGGAGCACTTGGCAGACCACCTCTTCACTGACACATAATAGCACAAAGTTATGTGAGGAATAGTTGGCGCATTCACTGTCTCTTCGCTGGAGCATAAACCTCAAGTTTATGGTAGGAAGAGTTAAGCAATCAAAAGGAAACGGTGGAGTATTGGTCAGTCAGCGCAGCAGTGACGTAAGAATGACGTCGACGAGTGTGGCAGCTTCAGCTAACACGGGCCAGGTCTTTCCACCCTTTGCCAGCTATTATCAACGCTTTCAACGGGCCTATAACACTCGCCACGCTCCTAAACGCTAGCAGGAAAAACGAATATTATAACGTTAGGAAACCACTGTCACTAACAGAACACTGATTGAACACTTGTCTCGTATCTTAGGGCCGTAGCCCACTTCTAGAATGTGGAAGATTCTGTGGGAGATCAGTAAAATGTGGTAAAGGGAACAGTAAAAATTCCAAATTATTACCGCTGGGGTCAATTTAGAGGTGGCTTTAAAGCCTTTTAGAGGTACAAAGATGTTGGACATTGCAATTGAGTGCAAAGGTTAGCGTATTAGTGAATGACTTGTCGACCCAACTTGGCTAAGTTAATAGGGTTAAAGCGCCACAGGGCGCAAATGGACTCGAAAGCCGGCAATACTGCCAAGTATATCAATGCGTCGTAGACGACTTAAACGGTTGGGTCAGACCAAAATAGTAACGAGGCATGCATTAACTTTCAAAAGGGCCCATGGCATGCATTAAATCAATAGATGATAGAAGGTGAATTGCACTCTGGTCACTGTGAACAAAACAGTAACACCCTTTGAGTCACCTCCGTATCACATTTGCAGTCAAAGCACGCGAAGTCGAGAACCCCTAATGCTTCATAATTTCTCTCGAAATCGATACTTAATCTATAAGGTCTCCGTTACAGTAAAACGGAAGATAATTTCCAATAAATGGAACAAACTAAACAAAATTTCTAATAACATCCTCCCTAGACCACAGACAGCCGTCTACTGAGTACTGAAATCTGAAACTTAATGACGAGTGACTCCTGACTACTGAGCGAGTGAATGCAGCGCTTGTGTTGCATCGTGCATGAGGCAGGGCGACTGTGAATCGCTAGCTCGTCATTCGTCAATCGCTTTGTACCCACACGAACAGCGTTGCCTACTGGTATATTTCCATACCAGATTTCACAAATCTGGTATTTTCAAAAAGTGTTTGGTATGAATATTTTAGATCTGGTATATTTGCTTAAATCTGTTTCTTTTTCTGGTATTTTCTGACTTGCTGCATATTTACTGCATTAAGTTTTACCTCTGCAGTTTGACCTTCCCCCTGCGTAGGCGTGGATTACATAGATTACCTTCAGAGCAGCACGACTAGAGCTTTCAAGCCATTTTTGGAGCCGCTACATTATTTACCGCTTAAGGAAATAACTCCAATCAAATTTTTAACATTTAAAAATAATGCTTAGTGCAGTGAGAGCATGAGAGCAATGATTCTTAATTTATTACTGCTCAGTGATGATAAGGTTTTTGACGAGCGAAGCTCTTGAGCCGATCTCTGCGACGCAAGCTTTGCCGTTTCTATTTGGTGGTTTTGAATGGAGGGGAAGAAGTGCCACACTGTCATAAAAAATAAAAAGTTTAAATGCAATCAAAGACAGGAAAAGAAAAGTATCAGAATGTTCAAACAGAGGGAAAAAGTATAACGTGTTCAATTTGCCTAATCATTCATCAAGCCAGATAAATGCACAGTAAAAAAGATATTAAACTGACTTGTATTTTTCTAACCAACGTTTTTGACGAATAATTTCATCAAATTTGGAGGTATTAGTCTGTTTTTGAACAATAGAATTCTGAGGTATTTTGAGCTAGGCAATCTGGTATTCTCGCCGAGAAAATAGTTGACGACACTACACACGAATGAAGCGCACGTAGACGCTGCGCAGAGGGGCGGTGAGGCGCTTGACGCCCGTGTGTTGCCCCTAGTGTGAACGGGCCTTAAGAGCTTGTGCATCACTGCTTTGAAGCTCCTGCACGCTGCCAACTCTTTGGGCTTTACAGTTGTCGGAAAAGTCTGGTTTTTAATTATCTGTCGGACTTGTGGGTCAACGAGGACACAAGTTTAATCTTGGAGTTCAACAAGCTGTTGCCAAATTTCACCTTTAGTCATAAAAACTTCTGCCTATTCAGATCCATTGAAAGTGAAAACATTGACATTGATTTTTGTCGACAAGAGCATCGACATGATTCCCGCGAACAAAACCTTCCACTCTTTTAAAGATTTTTTTAATTTCATTGAGTTTTTCTGTAACTGGAAATCCTGACGTGAAACAGTATGACAGTTTTGATTCATGAAATCAGTCGAATCGAATTAGACTAAATTTGCATACATCAATAAAAAAATGGTTGAAATTTGTTCGTCTGTATTGTCTTATATCTTGCAAGAAAATTCAGAATAAAGATGCTGTAACATTTTATATCACATTAAATGTCAATTCACTCATTTTATTGATATGTTCTTGATTTTAGTAGACATGGGGAGAAATCGCAGTTGTTAAGAACTTTTAAAAATGAGTTTGAACTGCAAGATCATATTATAAATAAATTTATAGAACGAATGTCATTTAAATTAATGGAATGCGCAGTAACTAAGTAGTTGATTAATTAAGTAGCGAAATAACATGGTTGATTGCCTCCTTTCTGAGCTCAAGGGCTCCTAAACTTTTATTGAACATTCCGAGACGGTTAAGGATCTTAATTGAATTAACGGCCGGCACGTTCAACTAAAAAGTTTTAAATGAACTTATTTCAGATTTTTGCGTCTGGGGATTTTTCTATATCAACATCATTTGAAAGTTATAGGAAATACCTGCCGAATTTTTCGGTGAGCATGAAATTTATCCCGGGAACACAGACCCCAATACTCATAGCAGAAAGTTCGATGAATCTTTTTAAATTTCAGAGCCCTTGCTATGTCAGTAAGCATTTATCCCTCACCCTCTCCTACAGCTCTCATTTTATACTTGAAGTTTATTTAATTTCTTAAAATATATCATTATTTTTAAAAATGATATAAGTGAGCTTAAAAATACAAAATCTAAACTTTTTTCTCACAGACAAAAATATCTGTTATGCCAACACTACGGATAAAGCATATGTGAATTCAATAAATTTTAGGGTTCAATTGTATTTTTTAACTTAAAACAAGCATAATAAAGTCAAATATCGTAAAGCTCTACATTGCATTGCAGTTGGAGCAGCCTCTCCGTGGGACATCTTTAAGCCCCAAACATCTGGACTCGTATGAGCCCCTCTTCCTCTCTTCCACGTGCCTAACCTTCAAATACGTCGTGATTTGATCACGTGACTTGATCCCTTTACTATTCAGTCCCGGACTAGCGTCTCGTTTGTCCCCTTCATGCGTCTCCTGGCAGAGGTTATTAGCATAATATATATTTTTTACCGAAGTAATATACTCCCACAAGTCCCAAATAAACATGTATATTGTTTCGTAAACAGTATATCATTAAAGAGACTATTTCATTTACACCGTTAAGTTATTAATTGCTCCGTTAATTAAATTCTAGCATCTTGTTCACAAAAATGATGTAAAATTCTTTCGTTTAATGCAATTCGTCCGTCCGTATCTCGTACGAGGAAGGCATGAAATTCTTACATTTTTAGCAATTTCAAATCTTTGACTAATTCCTTTTGTCAAATGTGTTCAAGTGATCCATCGAAAACCGGCCTGTATGAATTTGTAGCGATTGTTCTGAAAAAAATATTTTCCGTGAACAGAACAGTTATACACGTATGAATACATACAAATAAGGTTCGTTATAAATTATTCAACATTTTTATTTTCAGTTTTCCATAATTAAAAACTAATTTGTAGTTGATTGTAGAAAAAGATCCCAATCTTAAACCATGAAAGGGAAAATGCGTATCAACTAGAGACGGGCACGAGCTCGGGTTTATCTCGTGTTCCCAGATTATAATTCTGCGCATATGCGTTAAGTTCACAAGGAAAAATTTGGACACTATTACCGACATAACTGCCTCTGAGGAAAGTTGTGCTGCTATTGAAACACGAGGAATTACTACTATTAGAAAAATATTTCCTGCTTAGCCCCCTATAATTATGATAATTTCCTTGTCTCATCTCCTCCTTGCGATCAGTGGACAAGTAAATGCTCTGCTTAGACAAAAAGGTTTTGTTGCCTTGAAAACAATTATTACTGAGGTTACAATAAATTCAAGCAGACTAAGTTCAATATTTATTTTCCGTAGAAAAAGGGAATTTTTGGGAAATTTTTTAGGACTGATTTACAACTGAGAAAATTATTCAATGTGTTTTTGTGAATAGTGGGTTATTCCATGAAGATGTATAACCGGATTACCAACATTCCCAATACTAGTAAGACCTGTTAGGAAAGCTGGGGGAATTTAAGGCCACTCATTATCTTGGAATACGAGTGGCATGTGAGATGTCAATATCGCCTTATCACGCGTGAGAATTGGAATAACCATTTCCGCGATATGGTTAGGCCACATCTGGCGATACGACAAGTTAAAAGATCGACTTCGCCTCACTGCGCTCGAGTGTTAGTCCTGGTTAGGTTAGATTAAAACTGTCAACAGAAATTTCCTGCATTATGAGTGTTATTCAAGTTAAATTCACTGAACGAATTGCACCGAGAGCTGCAGCTCTCACCCTGTGAATGTTATGTGCCATGGATGCTCAACCGATACGGAAACATTACATTATTGATGTGTCGTTGTTCGTCGTTTAAATTCAGCGCTTGTATGACGACGGACAAATTAAGTGATGAACTAAATAATATTTCACGTTAAAATAACAAACTTAATTAGCATGATAAAAATGTCAGCTTCGTTCACAGCGATTTCGTTAGTTGCTGTCATCGGTGTATGCTCGACTTTTATTGGTGCGGCATCTGGCGTTATTCCTTGTTTGATATCTGGGCACGGTCATATGGGTGAGTTGAACACAATTATTCTCTAATCTCAAGAATTGGCGAGGTGAAAACATGTCTTACCGATGAGTCATCTCAAGTATTATGAGTTGAACACATGTCTTGTCTATGGAAATTCTCTCAAGCATGGTTGAATTGATCATTTGAAGTAAAATGTACGTCTTTTATATTCTCTTTAAACCAAATGCACAACAACTTTTAAGAAGTATTCCAGTCACGAACGCTTCCTTCGTTCCCCTAATATTGATCGTTGTTTGCCCCTTTCCGTACGTGCCGCTAACTTCGCCGCAAACTTAACTCGCTGGCCTTCCGGAAAAACGATTTTTTTTAACGAAACTGAGCCACGACTTTCTAGTGGGATCGGAAAGTTTCTTAGTCATTATGAAGCAATCGAATCCCAGAAAACGTAATTCTGACCAATATTATACGGTTTTTATTGATGAGCGGCGAGTTAGTTGTAGTATCTGCTGAATGGAATCTTATGTGACTTTGATGGTAGCTTATAACCATTCTATTATGGTATATACAGTGCACAATACTATAATCTACTGCCACATTTCTAAAGCTTCTTCAGCTGTTCATAACTATCACTGTAATCGCTTACGATAAGTATAATTTACGATGAATTTCAGTTCGAGCCCGAAAGCCTGTTCGTTTTGACGGAGACATTGACGCCGGCATCATAGGCGGCAGCGAAGTTCCAGATGGTGAGCCAGCCATCAAACTATTTAGTTTTAATATCCTGCAAATTTAAAATAAATATTTTAATAATTTCTTGTTCTGTTGCATGGATAAAGAACTCGCTTGGTGACTTATTGATATTAAAAAAAGTTGTTAACTCATAGGTTAACATAAACGAGCAGCTGTCAATGGTAGCGTTTATGCAATATATGGCGAACAAATTTATTACGAGCATACCTTATTACATTTCTGTAACTATGATAATGCAGTGTTTCATTTGGTACTTGAATTATTCACGAAATACTATTTGTAGTAAAAACTTATGGATTTAATGAGAGACAAATGTTATAAAAAACGTACAATTATTTACGCTTTGCCTAGTTCGTGATTGGAGGCACTTCTATTTTGTTGCAAAATATTAGTTTATTTCTTTCAAATTTACTTGATCTGGAATGAGACAAACCGCATTAATCTCAATTTTAATTTTGAAAATTTCTTCATATCCCTGTATATTATCTTATTGAGTAATATTTTCCAGGGACCGCCCCGTGGATGGTGTCCATCCAGACCACCGAGTACACGAAGCCCATGCACGTCTGCGGCGGCGTGCTCGTCGCCCCCCAGTGGGTCCTGACCGCCGCGCACTGCGTCTGCAGCGCCCACACGTCTGACCTCCTGGTGTGCCTCAGTCATTTGTGCCTCCGTCACTTGTGCCTCAGTCATTTGCGCCTCAGTCATTTGTGCCTCAGTCATTTGTGCCTCCGTCATTTGTGCCTCAGTTATATTTTATTCTGTCATTTGTGCCTCAGTCATTTGTGCCTCGGTCATTTGTGCCTCAGCCATTTGTTCCTCAGTCATTTGTGCCTCAGTCATTTGTGCCTCAGTTATATTTTATTCTGTCGTTTGTGCCTCAGCTATTTGTGCCTCAGTCATTTGTGCCTCAGTCATTTGTGCCTCAGTCATTTGTGCCTCCGTCATTTGTGCCTCAGTCATTTGTGCCTCAGTCATTTGCGCCTCAGTCATTTGTGCCTCAGTCATTTGTGCCTCAGTCATTTGTGCCTCAGTCATTTGTGCCTCCGTCATTTGTGCATCCGTCATTTGTACCTCAGTCATTTGTGCCTCAGTCATTTGTACCTCAGTTATTTGTGCCTCAGTCATTTGTGCCTCAGTCATTTGTGCCTGCGTCATTTGTGCCTCAGCCATTTAGGCTCCAGTCATTTGTACCTAAGTCATCTGTGCCCCATTCATTCAGTCTCCAGTCATTTGTGCCTCAGTCATATGCGCCTAAGTCATTTTTTCCTCAGTCATTTGTGCCTCTGTCATTTTTTCCTCAGTCATATGTGCTTCAGTCATTTTGTGCCTCAGTCATATGTACCTCTGTCATTTGTGCCTCAGTCGTTTGTGGCTCAGTCATTTGTGCCTTAGTCATTTGTGACTCAGTCATTTGTGCCTCAGTCATTTGTGCCTCAGTCATTTGTGCCTCAGTCAAATTTTCCTAGGTCATTTGTGCTCCAGTCATTTGTCCCTTAGTCATTTTTTCCTCAGTCATTAGTGCATCAGTTATTAGTGGCTTAGTCATTTGTGTCTCAGTCATTCGTGCTTCAGTCATTCGTGCCTCAGTCATTTGAGCCCCAGCTATTTGTGCCTCACTAATTCATGCCTCAGTCATGCGCGCCTCAGTCATTTGCGTCTCAGTAATTTGTGCCTCAGTCATTTTGGCCTCAGTCACACTGCCGTCATTTGCTCAGCTACACTGCCTCAGTCGAGTGTGACGTTGCACTGCTCCAGTTAGATGCGACGCTGCGCTGCCTCAGTTGGACGTGAGGCTACACTGCTTCAGTCATTTGTGACGCTATATACTGCCTCAGTCGAGAGTAACGCTAAGCTGCCTCACTCGTTTGTGACGCTACACTGCCTCAGTCGAGAGTAACACTAAGCTGCTTCACTCGTTTGTGACGCTATACTGCCTCAGTCGAGAGTAACGCTAAGCTGCCTCACTCGTTTGTGACGCTACACTGCCTCGGTCATTTGCGACACTCGTTTGCGACGATCGTTTGTAACTATATTTCGCGACACTATAGTTTGTGATGTTTTTTCATGACACTTGTTCGTGACTCCCGCTTACAACGAGCGTTCATGACGTTTGCACGTGTCAATTGAAAATGTCATAAAAACCACATTAAAAGCTTTTCTCAATCTAATTGCAAATCAAAATTTTCTTTCTTGGCTGCGCGTGTGCCGCCAGTTATGGAACATTTGTTAGCATTACTTGACTCGTGATTGCTTTCAACTAATGTATTAATTAGCCTTCGCATACAAATCTATTACTTACTTCAAAGTTGGAATCACATATGTTTCATCAATGTGACCAAGAGTTTATTTCGCTCATGCGGAAACAGCATAAAAGGCTTACTATAGAATGCTTCCGAAAACGATATTGATGTGATAAGCTCACTTTAACACCAGTCCGTTAGACGCAACACCACGTTATATCGTGAGCACATTAATTCCTAATATTGAGAGCCAAAAGCAACAACTGCTCCTCTGAATGAGCCAGCCTGTCGTTTATCTAAAATGAGCCTGTCTCTGAGGTGAGCCAGCCTGTCGTTTATCTAAAATGCTCGTTCATTTCCACTAGGCACATGACATGAAACAACGTTTATTTGACGTACATTTAACGAAACAACGTTTAATCACCGTTGGTACAAAGTCAAATGTCTGGTGGGTTGGTTCGTTTAGGTGGTGGCTGGGGAGCAGCACCTCTTCTCGTACGACGGAACGGAGGTGACCGTGCGCGTGAGCCACGTCGAAATTTTCAAAGACTTCCGTCCGTTGACTCGGACCAACGACATCGCGCTCGTCAAGCTCAACTGCGCTCTCGAGATGACCGCCAACGTTCAGACCATCACATTCCAGCAATCGCAGGGCCCGCAAGTTGATGGTACTTAAACAACAGTTAGATTAATTATGTTTCACTGTAATTATTATTAAACTAGTCTTTATCTCTTACGATAGAGCATTAGAATACTATTTAAACCTTTTATATTTTTAGAATATAACAAACGTTTCTGAAAAATATTAAGCACGAAGGTACTGATATACATATGTTACGTAAGTAGATTTTGCACATTACATAGATAACAAACATACCCGTTATACTCTACATTTTTGTGATTTTTCAAAGACATCTAGGATATTTTATCTAACACGTCCATTCGGATGAAATACCTATTGTTTCAAACATATTTAAATAAAATAAATTAGAATGATAATATAAAGTTGCAAACTATTAAAACAGTGCTTCCTTAATCAATGGGAACGCCCCAACGGTGTTGGATATAGAGACCGTACTGCTCAATATTTATAGTTATCTACATAGTACGGGGAGATCAAGAACTCCCTCCCCTTACACATGTCCAAGTGGCAAGGAGGTTGCGCGACCAAAATGTCCAAGAAGCATTGCTTACGAGTATCATTATCACATTTTGATTAGCTCTGTGTAGATCTGCATTTTAAATGATAAAATCGATTACCATACACATTTGCTGTAGTGTGGGCAGTCAATATTTTGGAAAATGATCTTGCTTCATTTTATTAATTATGAGTACATTAACGCATCTCAATCGGGACTTGGTGAGTTATACAAATTTGAAAAATGCTTGTGTTTTGAATAGAATGGTGCGATGTGTACGGGTGGGGCGCCATTACGGAGGACGGCAGTATCGAGGATGAGCTATCGAAGAGCAGCCAGCAGGTGTACAGCAGCGAAGACTGCGTGCGCAGCTACCCTGGCCTCATCCACGAGGGCATGATGTGTGCCGGCGACGCAGAGGCTGGCAGCGGGCCATGTCAGGTCAGTATTGCATTCTCAGCGACTCTGTCTTCATCCACGAAGAGATGATATTCTCAGGCAACGCGGGGGCGGGCAGCAGGACGCATCATTTGAAGACTGAGTGCAAAGCAATCCTGGACGCATTCATGACGGCATGATATGCGTAAACAATGAGACTTAAATTTTAAATAGTTTCTTGTTAGGATGCCCTGTTAGGTGCGAGTGTTGGCAGTTCCCTGATGGTATCCCTCGGTATGTACATGTATAAACAGTTTCCTGAAATTATGCCCGGTAAGAAGTGAGTGTTGGTAGTTTCCAGAGTGTGCATTGCCATGTGTGATTGTAGACAGTTTTCTCTGAGTGTACCGTGTCAGGTCTGAGTGTAGGCAGTTTCCTGAGAAACTGACATTTCACATCCGAGTATAGGTATTTTAACGCAAGTGAGCTTTTTCAGGTTCGAATATTGGCGTGTAATCTGCAAATTCATGTTAAAATATATGCATTCTAATGCTCAGTTAGCGATCATGCATTAACATTAACTACCATAAATTGGCGCAGGGTGACTGGGGTGGCCCACTAGTATGCAGGTCAAACGAACTGTTCGGAATCGCGTCGTGGTCGGCGGGGTGCGGCAGCGGATCTCACCCAACGGTCTACGCCAACACATCCGTGTATTGGGATTGGATCGAAGCTACCATCAGCAGCCACTTCCATTACCCCAGTACTCAGAAATGCCCGCAGAAGTGACATCTGTATCCTATGATATGAAATGTGAAGAATAATTACTAGTTTTTGCCACATGATTTTAAAAATTCTGTTCACGATTGCAATTGTCTTCTTGCAAAATTATTATTGAATACTACCTCGGCACAATGACAATAACAGGATGAGCGATGTCTTGAGGTTTTTAAAATAACCTTTAATCAGTACAACGTGCAAAAGAGGAATGAAAAAATTCGAGTATAGGACGACGCAAAATGTTTTTCGCTAAACCATTCTGTGATTTGACGACGGGGAAAATGAGCACACGACGGAGAGCGTGGCTTCTCTTCTAACAGAGTAAGGTGATGAGGCATTCCCGTGTGACACAGTTCACATTTGGAGCGATACAGCGTAGTCAGCGGACCCTTGGGGTAACAACCTTTGTAAGAAGTGATGGTATGGGTTGAAAATCATTGAAGAACTACGTATTGACCGTTAATTAACTATGTGGAGTAGCAGCTCGTGAGCTGAAGCATTGTTTGTTTAAAGTTCGTGGTTGATGTTGGCTCTGAGGCTGATTTGAGAGTCAATTTGCTGGTCTACAGCTGTGCACCCCGCATAAAAGATATAAATATAATTTCGTATGCGAAATATAACGGTAGTCGAATTTTTTACGCCACTTTAACTTATGCACCTCTCAACTTAGTTTCAAAATTGTGAAATGTTATCAAATCAGCTTTACTAACGTTAATTTTCAACTTTTATATAAAGATTCGTTATAAAAAATGTGTCTCACTATCCTAACGCCATCCATGAACGCCATCATTCTATTGTTTGTTTCTGACGTTAAATTGCACAAAGTTTCTATCTAAATTTTAGAAAATAGATAATTTCTGCAACCGCGGACATCAAAATCTTAGCCGACGATGCCGGGAGCTGGCATCCAGATAAAAAAAAGATTCCGGTTTAAACTGCGGACCGAGACGGACGTAAGTTTTTGTGCTCTGTGCCCGACTGTGAAAATCACATAAATATAGTTTAATATTCAATATTGTAATTATAGATAGGTGTGTGGAGCAAAAGCTTGAGGCTAGAAGCTCCTTATTTATCTAAAGGATGCCGGTGCGTCGGCAGCTAGTATGGAATATATCTACTTGGCGAGCCGTGTGCAAGTAGACGAGCCCTGGATATTTGATCCGCCGTTCCCGAAAGCCGAGCTGCGGAAGCCACGGCCACGGGCCCATCCCAAGTCCTCTGCCGGACCAAATTCGCGTCCTCGGGCAAGGCAATACCCGCATTCTCATTGCGCCACACATCCATCGCCATCTGCACATTGTCGTCCGCGGCTAGTCGTACATTATGTAAAACAGCATCAAACATGCCAGTGACAATATGAATGCAGGGAGCGCGATGTCCTTAGACATACGGACACCCAGACCTCCCAGCAGGACCGGCAACACAGCTTGTTCGAGGGATTCGGGCTCGAAGCTGACATTGGTGATGGTCGAGAGGGCAGAAACCAACACCTCATCGAACCGTCCCAAATCACCCGCCCGGGTATAAGCCGGAGATGCACGTAGGACGTATTGGAGTTTAGGTAGAGCAAAATAATTCTTTAAAAGCGTAAAAGCTTGATGATTATCAATTAATTTCAAACGCTCCACCATCCTCTCCAAGCTCTCCCGCTTCTCCCGGATAACGGCGGAGACGCCCTCTTCGTGGAGTGGGGCACCCAGTAAAAGTGACTCATGGGCGGGAACAACTTTCATTGCCGGCAACACCCCCCGAAACATCTCCCTAGTTTCGAGCTCTTCTTCTCCCGAATGATTCAGTATGATCACTTCACACTTCCCCTGGTTTACCTCCAGCCCTACGGCTTTAAAGTCCTCAACGAGTTTTTGTACTGCCCGGAGAACTGTCTCTGGTTTATCGCCCAAAGATCCATCATCCAAATACCAAACGTTAAACTCTGTGTTCACCCGGCCTACAACCTCGTCAATTCCTAAAGAGAATAAAGCAGGGCCAAAAGGATCACCCTGCTGTATGCCGGTCGCGGAAGCCAAAATCGACCTCCCAAAGAATAGAGGGGATGGTTCCGAATACGCTTGGTACAGCATTCTATAAATTCCCTGCGCTTTCGCCCTCGCGGCAGCCAGGAACACGTCTAGTCGCAGGCTGTTAAATGCATTCGCCATGTCAACCTTGAAGAACACTCGACGGCCCGAGGTACGCACGGGCTGCATGAGCAGCAGCCTCGCACCCGCCCCTGGTGAAGAACCCCTATTGGAGCGGCTGAAGTGCTTCCCCTATTAACGGAGACAATGGTCTTGCTCCAACCTTGGTAGCCAAGCGACGCAAAGTGCTCCAACCGCTACGGGCGAATGCCCCCGTCTTTTTTCCGTAGGGCGCACAGAGTGGCTCCATAGAACATCGGTCTTGCAAACCCAGGTACCTGCCCCCCAATCACCAGGTTGACGAACCTGGTAAGGGAGGCCAGTAACCTCGCGCCCGCCTCACCCGCCTTCCGCGAAACCATGGCCACCAGATGACGCGGACGGAGCCCGTCCGGGCCACCCGCCGAACCCGGCTCGAAGGAAGCAATGGCTTTCCTACATCCCCTTCCCCTACAATAGAAGAAGGCGGGTAGTCTTCTCCTGCAGGTTCAGGGATAGATAGGTCCTCGGGTGCCGGAGGATGCTTCTGCTGGAGCATTTCTCGGGTTCTATCGTCCCTCGGGGCAATATCATCCGATGATGCCAGCATACGCACAGCCCCCCTTATGTCACCATCGTCCAGCCTGCTGGCCACTCTCCTCCAGAGTTCTTGATTTCCGTCTCCCGACTCCCGCCTCGCTCTTTCTTCCGGAGCCACCAGATGGTCAGACTCAATAAATGCTTGAATCTGCCTCTTGACTACTGTGGTTAGTGAGCGAGACGAACCGCTGCTCTCCGGCTGCCGCAGCATGATCCACCCAAATGACAGCAATCTACCCCACGCTAATGGAGTACTGTCTCCACTTGTCGCTGCCTCCAGCAGCTTCTGCAGAGCGTCTGCTGCGCAGACCACAGCTCCCTGGGGCACCCTCTTCAGTGCTCTACCATTGGCACAACACCGAGAAACGTACCCCAAGAAGTCGAAATCTACGGGTCTTTCTATTACACCGACATTAGTTAGCTCTACCCAAGCAACCCGGGCACAGCCAGCGCCCGAAGGTGTCTGCCTGTGCTCTAGTCAGCCCCACGCATGAGAGATGGTAACAGCCTCCACACGAAGAACATCTGACTGTCCTCTTCCTGTTGTTAACAGTCGAGCAACTCAGGCACCCGCGTCCTCTCCCCTCCATCCCTCGGTCGTTTCCATGAGGTTAGGCGAAGACCAAAACAGAACGGCTGCTGCGCGTCTACAATCAAAATTACGCGAATACTACGTGCAACTAGTCAAGCAAGTGGCACGCCGCAAAAGAATAACAAGTACACCAGCAGTAGAAGGACGTGCCACTAATAAAATTGCTGCGTCAGCAGGAACGAGAAGAGAGAATGGGGGCAACGAACGTGCAAGGCTACAAAGCAAACAGCAAGCAATTAAAGAGCTCTTAAGCACCACACCACCAAATCGCGCGGATGCTCAGTTCACACTCCGTTTGCATTTAGTTACATTTCGGAACGCAAAACTGGGTAAAGTGCGCTACATCAGCCGTTTGCATTTTACACTTAGGAACGCAATGCAGGGTAAAATATACTACAATTACGACCTATTATATGTATACAATTATGCGGCCTATTAATTGGCTGAGGATTTTAATGCCGAAATTTAATATTCGTGCATATGATAAATTGATAAAACAGCATAGTAAAAGAGTCGAACTTAAATTCTTGAACTCCGAATCTTGAATTTACTGGAGCATAATCCCTTGTCAATAAAATGACAAGGGAAATAACCAGAGAAATGTTCTAAATTTTATTAATGTTTTAAATTTAAATTTTAGATAGAAATTTGACTGCCATTTTAACGACTATACACTGAAATTTATTCTAAAACTGATATACATTTTTCTAGGATTAAGACCCTAGCAAACTATGGAGAGTGAGTCAATTCAATTTGACAAATTGACCGTGAACTATAGATTGTTTCTAACTTTTAATTGAGTGTTCCATAGTATTGTCCACGTAGTATTGTTGGTCATCAAACTCGCTTGTTCACTTTTTTTATTTATCAATAGGTCAGTAAATTAACACTGTCGGTAAGGCTTCATATTTAAGTGCGGCGAGTTCACTTTCAAGCAGGAATTTTGATTAATCTCCGTGTAATCGAGTTGTGAGAAAAAAAAAACAGAAGAAGAATCGACCAATCATTGATTATTGGTATCCTCTGTAGCCACACAATTTTTTTGTAAGATTATGCTTGCGTCCTTGTTCAGCATGAGGAAACAATTTTTTTCGCATACAATTTTTTCGCAGCACGCAATTACAAATTTACTTAAGCACTGTTGAAATACTGTGAACTTAAGCACAACAAAAACCTTGACTAACCAACGGTTTCATCAGTAAATAAAAAAAAATTGGCATCTCGTAATTCACGTAAAGAACTCGACCTCAATTCACCGACAATTTTTTTTGCTATAGACGCAAAGAATTTAATGACGATGCAAGCAGCATTTGCTTACCTTGCGCAAAACGTCTGTTCGAAATCGCTATGTAAGCGAGCTGTCTTCACGCTCAGCGATGGCAATTAACGAGATCTGTGATAAGACAAGCGATCTACTTAAAGCTCATAGCAATAATGCGGTTCATGGAGTTCATTCTTGATGAGACTTGCCAAATGCAAGAGACATCGTGATATAATCAATACCGAGATTATTTTTAATCCCATATCACTGAGATCATTCAAATTGACGAACCGAAGTTGAAACTTGACAACTTTACAGTCGAATTGCTTATGTATGTATGTATCTTCATTTTGCAACTTATTCGAACGATGTTTAATTTTAATGAGATTTTGTTGTTCAAATATTACATTGTATTTGAATTAAGCACTGCGAATGACAAATGGTTTGATACAATAACTGTGTTTCCCATTCAACTGTAATATTTCGCACGTTTGAAATTAACATATTGATGCAGAATGCTTTATTTTATTTTGAACAGTCTCATTTTACTGTATTTGTCTGTAAATGATTTCATAGCTACCCAGTCAATCAGGTCTTGATCGATCGATGAAGATTAGGGCGGATCGATGAAGAAATTTATGCAGATTCTTGCTCGATCGACGAGGGCAAATCCCCATTT